TAAATATTGATTGGCACAGTAGCTTCAGTCAAATGATAAAGAATTGTTTCCACTTCTTGAGAACAGATAATAGCCCACTTCAAAACTCTCAGGTTGATCTGTTTACTTGCTTTAGGATGAAGCACTTTTTTCTTCCCGATGATAGTTTACATCATTCATTGCACCACACATGTGCTGTTCTCTTCGATCTAAAGCTCTTAAGTGATTCTGAAAATGCATGGTCCTGAGATTTACATATTTTCTGATGGTTTAAGATAACAGTACAACACACTTCTGCCTGCAAGTTCTGTATTCTCACTTTTTATTGGTTTGTTTCTGAGGACTCTGATTGTGATCGCACTAATTTTGTTTTCTTTTTTCTTTTCTTTTGCATCTTTTGGGTTCAAGGGTGCTTTTTAAACCTTCAAGTTCACAGTCACTCATACACAAGTGCTGTTTTAAAACATTCAGCATTATTAATGGTGAAAAAACATTGAATTAATTCTGTTGAATTTAATTTTCCCACATGGCTTTTAAAAGCTAAAGACTTGAATTTGAATAAGGCTTTTATTCAGGCTAATTTCAGATAAGCAGATGTTTTGTGAAGTCGTTTGAACCACAGGTTATAGGCTAAGCTGTAAATGTAGGCCGGATTAAGTGTTTGTTTTGCTATTAATTATGCAATATTCTAATGCATGATTTATTTTTTTGCAGATGGCTCTTGAAATTCATTTTGAATTGTCTGACTAACCTTGCTTTTAAGTGAGGGTGTGAATGTGTACTGTAAATGTTAGTGTCAGCTGTGCGTGTGTGTGTGTGTGTGTGTGTGTGTGAATGGTGTAAGTATGTGTGTTTATGTACTGTATGTCTACACATGCTGGTCTCTTGCATGCGTTTGTTTGTCTGTCTGCGTTTTTGCTGGAGAATGCTGTGTTTTTGTGCATTGCAGCAATGGTATACAGCCACAATGAATCTGCTGGCGACCTGGCTGACTGAACGCATGGACCAACAGCTTCATGTCTATCAACTCAAAATCCTCATCAGGATTGTAAAGGTATTTCTTACTTGCAGAAGTGTTTGTGTTCTGAAGCTGGAGTGATATGATTAAAAGCCAAGGTAAACCCTTATTGTCTTAATTGTTTTAGATTTCTATTTGATATCCAGGTCTTGCTTAAGAATGCCGTTATTGTTTTATTTATGTATTTATTTTTAAATGGAACTTGTATTTTTTCATAAAGGAAAAGTTGTCCTTATAGAATTTATAAAGATTGATTTAATTTTTTAATTTTTTATTTTTTACAAAAATACCCTTTTGCATATATGTGCATTTTTTGTTATTGTACGTTTTCTCAATTGTTGTAGATATTAAATTAGACATACTTATTTACCTTTTTACAAATCTATTGCTGTCATCAAATGCCTGCTTAGAGTTAAGAGTTAAGAATTTTCTTTAAAATATTATATATTTATATATTATATTTAAAATAATTAATTTGTTGACTTGTGAACTTACATTCAACTAAATGTTTTGAAGAATCTTCAAAACCAGAGAAATAAGCAATTTTAACTTTAGTGACATGGACTGTGTCCTGTATCGCCATGCTAATGACACTATACCACAAATTTCCAATTTATATAAAACAGCAAAACACCAAAGACGCATTAATATGTTGTGCGTTTTGTTAGGCTGCATGTCGACTGCGGCATTATAAAAGCTCAGCTGCTTTGCCACATTTGCACTAGTCTCTAATCAGCAATTTGTACTAGTTAATGTGAGTTGATGCATTTAACAACATGAACAAACAATAAACAATACATATATTACAATATGGTTTCATATGGTCGTTCATTGTTAGTTCATGGTGCATTAAATAATGCTAAAAGCATGACTTTGGATGTTAATAATGCAGTAGTAAATGTTGAACTTTGATTAATAAATGCTATACAAGTATTTTTAATTTCATTTTATTAATATTATTTTATTAATTATTGTTACGTTAACTAATGAAACCTAGTGGCGTTTACTTATAAACTAATTTCAAGAGGATCACATGCTTATGATTGATCACAGCTGGTCCTGCATTTGCCAATTCATGATTCACCCATCAGACTATTCTTAAGTCACCATAAATAATCCCACAGCCATCTACATTTTGAAGAATCCCCCCTTCCACCTCTACTCCTCATTTTCATAAATGGGCGGCACGGCAGCCCAGTGGTTAGTACTGTTGCCTCACAGCAAGAATGTCACTGGTTGTTATCCTTACCAAGTTTCTGTGCAGAGTTTACATGTTCCCTTGTGCTTGCGAGGGGTTTCCCCTGGGTCCACTGGTTTCCTCCCACCATCCAAAAACATGCGACTTAAGTTAATTGACTAATCCAAATCGGCATCATGGACGTGACCCTAGTAAGTAGTTATCACCACTCTAGGGGAGTTCATCAAGCTCAAACTCCTCTCTCGCCCTGAAAATGGGAGGGAGCCCTTGGCTCGAGGATCTTCTAAGCTTAGGGCTCTCTCCCAGGACAGCATGCCAAACACGCTTTATAGTCAATCATCAGCTAAGTGTGAACTCTTGAAATTGCAAAGTGTGACCATTTTTTTCTGACATTTATGGGCCAAAAAAACTGTATAGAAAAAGAAAAACAAAGCTTAAAACCTGCTAATTTTTCTCATTCCTGTAGAAGAAATACCGGGATTTTAGACTGCAGGGTGTCCTTGATTCGACGTTGAACAGCAAGTCGTATGACACAGTACGAAACCGGCTAACGCTGGAAGAAGCCACGGCCTCGGTCAGAGAGGGAGGCATGCAGGGCATCTCCATGAAGGACAGCGATGAGGAGGACGAGGAGGACTAAAGGAGCATCGAGCCATCCGGTGCCACCCACCACCCTGAACCTAACCCGTCTATCCAACCCTACCCCACCCCAACACTTTAAACTTAGCCTGATAACATAAGATGCATGTAACAACTCTGATTACCCAGTTAGCCACTTTAGGACCCCCTCCCTCCCCATCAGCTCGAGTTGCCCACAAACAAAGCTAAAAAAAACAATAAGAATCAAATAATTGTACTAACGAAGAGTATAAAAAGAATGTCGCGAAGACCACGATTGGCAATTTTAGCTGTGTCATAACATAATAAAGAACAACGAACTAGCACCGACTTTTTCAACTCATTTATTTGAGGAATTTGTTTCTATGTGTTCCTAAGCAATATGGAGTACCATTTGTTTGATAATGTCGAGTGAGATTATTAGGTGTGTCCCTGTCCAATGCGATAACATATATGGCGCTTCTTTGACGTACTCTTACATACATTAATGGTACATTGTTGTGAAGATGAGTGTATGGACCCTTTTCTTTGTCTTGTCTGTTTTTAAAGTGGATGCCAACTGCTTCGAAACTAAAAACGAACCTCTGTATTTCAGTTCAAACTGTTAACCGTAAATGTCTTCTGTGTCTGCACACTTCCATCGTACTATTTCCTTATTTGTGTCAAGGCTCTGTGGCCCTATTTGTTGCAGAATATCCAACTAGTCATTGTCTCACAGGCATCTCAAAATGAAAATGAATTGGTATTCTAGAAATGCAATATCGTCATACCTCCGTTTTGATATCTCATTGGAGACGTCTTTTGATTAGATGTCGCAAAAAGACAAGGAAAACGGCTATATTTTTGGTTGAGTTCTACACTTCTACGGAGGATCTCTCTCTATCTCTCTCTTTTTTAAGTTTGTATGTCCAATTAAAGTCATTCTCTTTATGTTAGTAGGTCTGTCGAAAATGCTATGTGCCATTTTTGGGGTCTCACTTTTGGTTTTGTATATATGATGCTGTACATTGCATTCTGAGCCATTGCTGCATGCCTGTGGGATCCACCTTCTCCAAAAGCTTTTTTGTTTTTCTTTGTCGATTAGCTGGTGGATTCATTCTTGCGTTTGCCTTATCAAAGCCAACAGTTGTAATATGCAAGAGCTGTGGCCTCTCAATAAAGATAACATGATGTACTAAAATACCTGTACATTTAATTTCATGGTCTGGTTTCATCTTAGTTTGCTAGTATGTCCTTACCTATTTTAAATACCGAATAAGAAGAAAATGTAGGGTGAGAATTCCTTTTTGTCTGCTTAGAATTGATCGGATTGTGATTTATATAGAGCACAACATTTGGAGTTACTCATATTTTTATCAATAACACTTAACCCTTTAAATACAGATGGTTTTGAGGTTGTTGTGTGTGCTTTAGTTGAACCCTGTTCATATCAGTTCAAGTACTATAGTTCAAGCACTATTATTTGGATAATAGTGGAATTTAGGCCAAAAACTACATTACCCATAACATTCAACAAATTTAAATTTCTTCAGCAATCGAAGTGCACCAAAATAGATCTTTAATTCTTCCCACCCACCATGCAGCACTGCTTATTCTACAATACAAGTTTTTACAAATAATTACAAATATATTGTTTCTATTCAGTCAACAATTTTATACTAACTGGAAGTTTTATGTCGAATATTTTGTTTCATTCACAATGCTTCATAGGATTGTAGTTCTTTCCCTCAGAAAAGAAGACTATTGATTTGCATATAAGCAACTTCTTTGTTAATCAGAATTTGTAATGTCTTGACCAGGGGAAACGGGCTGGATAAAATGGCAAAGATAAAAGACATGGGAAAGAACTACATTGTGAATGACAAAGCAGAATAAAAACAAGTTGCTGGTTTTATGTATAAAAAAGTCCTTTTTGCGTTTATTTAAAATATAAACAAATATTTGCCATTGAAAAAAAGAGGTGTCATCTCTAGTTGGAAAGAAAATATGAACGAATTAATTACATAATATGATAAATCCTAAAATATTCTATAATAATAAATGTCCATTTTGACTCATCTTTAACATGTTTGCTAGTTCAGCTTCAGTTCAGTTTATCAGTAGTTTTACACGATTTTAAGCGTTTAATAACGGACTTTTATTTTGACGTATTACATTTTGATGTTCAAATCAGATGGCTTCACGTTCGCGAATAGAAAGTTACTTGATATCACACAATACAGTGCACAATATCTTTCTGCACTTGTGTTAAATTAAAATGTCTGTCCCACCTGGATCCATTATCGTGTCAGACTGGCACCGCTGTCCTGATAGCAGAGAGTTTTTCAGCAAAATACTGCACAAGAAGAGACGGCGAAAGTTTGGTAAGGATGATGACCATGGATACAGCACTTATGTAATAGGCATCACTTATAGTTTGTTCGCTTTTTTGCTGTAGTCAACATAGAAAATAAATTATTATTTCGGTTTTGTTAAAATAACGTGAAGGGCTCTTAGAGGCGCCAATGATGCCTCCTCAGATGAATGTGGACCTCGTTCGCTACAAGGTGTTTCTCTCAGGTAAAACTGGAGTGGGGAAGAGCGCGCTTGCTGCCCGTCTCGCTGGACTCGACCTGCCCAAAATGCACTACGAGACCACAGGTAAGCAAACCAACACAAATCAGACTCATAATCACGTTTCTTCTTATTTTTTAAATTATTGTTTTCACCTCGGACATTTGCAGGGAAATTAAGGTATTATTAATATTTATTTAGACCTATTTATGTTTTTATTGATGACACCTTTGAGGCAACGGTTGATTTTGGTTAGCTATTTTTGCCACTCCATAATAGAGAAAATACCAAATAACAGAAGCCAGAAATACTATACATTTACAAATTTATTTGTGGAACAGAATGTTAATCATGTTATCCGGAAAATTAATTATGTATTAGCATATCCCTCTTTAAAAACATTCAGAATGCAGATGTAAATGCTGCTGAAGTGGAAATTTATGGCTCAGTGGAGCAGAAAAAAAATACAAATTAAGAGAACAATTTGTAAAAAAATGTATTTAATTTAAAGCAAACACAAACTGATCAAATCCTATCAAATAAACGCTTTATTTTCTTTTACATTAGACTGAACAAATATGGTGTTAAACCCCAAAATTGTGTTACTGGGATTGTGTGCAGCCATATCAAAACACTCTTAATTGTTGAACAAATAAAAAAAAATCTATGACAAACATGCTTAATAATAACATCCAGTATTTTTTCAACAATGATATTGATAACGTCAAGCTTTCAAGATATCATCCCATCCGAGAGCTAACTTTCTGCAACTCGCACATGGTTGCTCACTAATGGCTTGTTTCCACTGACTGGTACAGTACGGTACGGTTCGGGTCAGTACGGGTCACCTTATCAGGCTTGCGTTTCCACTCCCAAGGGTATCCTTTTGGTGGGCGTGCTGAATGACAAAGTTTCAGTCGACGTCATTTTTGCTTGAGAAAATGTCTACAATAAAGCTTTAGGGGTCGCTCGCATATCATATGAAAAGCACTTCTCACAATGCTTTACACATAAATACTTGTGTATAAATGTTTATTACTAACTTTTCTATGAACATGAGTTGATTATAACTGCAGATCAATGACACTGCGAAATAGCCTACTGCAACGTCTGTAATTATATTAAAAAAATAAACAAATGAACATATATGAACACATACAGCCCCTTACAGTCCCCGATATGTTACCAACTACAGAAAAAGTACACACAGCATACAATTCGTCCTTAATTAGGTTCAAAACAAAACAAAGTATAGCCTACAGTCAGTGAAAACCTCTCATCTGTGTCTGTAATCTTCATCATTCCCAGTTCATATTAGTCCAAAAGGTGAGGATAAAAATTAAAACAAGGCAGTTTGTTCACGTTGGCTGAAGAAATAACGTGTTACTTTGCTTCCCCTTTTTTTTCCGCCCTCCACTCTCGCGTTTGTCCTTTTCTTTCTGAATGTGTCATTCTCACGTTTGTCAGCTTCTCACAAGATCGGGTTTCCAAAGCTTGTCAATAATCAAGCGCACGTTATTATCATCAGCTCAAGAAGTTTGTTATTTCAGATATAGACCCGCGGCAAGCGCAAGCAAGAAAGCGAAACCGCTCATGCTTCAGACTGGCTCGTAAAAAAACTACGAGGCACAGGGTAGATTCTGCTCTACTCCATGGGTTGGTGGCTGTTTATCAAGACGACGACAATGTTTGTTTAAGCCCGGATCGACCATGGCTAGTTATTATATGTATATATAATTCCGCTGTAATCTCTCGCTGTGTATTTCAAACATGGCGGGTCCTTTGTTTACATTCTGGCTTGTTGCGTAAGCGAATGACATATTCAGCTGCGCGTCTAGCTCCGCCTTTTGGTACACTTTCTTGTGTTTGGGACCCTTTCGAAAGGGTGCTGAAAAAGTGGTACAGTGCGGTTCGGTTCGGTACGCTTTTTGACAGTGGAAACGGCCATAAAAGCGTACCAAACCGAACCGTACTGTACAGTACCACTCAGAGGAAACAGGCCTTAAAGCTAAGCAGGGCTGCACCTGGTCAGGACCTGGATGGGAAACCACATGTGAAAGCTAGGTTGCTGCTGGAAATGGTGTTAGTGAGAGCAGCAGGGAGCGCTCAACCAGTGTTGTCTGTGTGGGTCTTAATGCCCCAGTATGTTGATTGGGGCTTTTCAGATGAGATATTAAACTGAGGTACTGACTCCCTGTGTCCTTTGAAAAAGGGTTTTTAAAAGTTTCAAATTTGCCCACTGCCACCTAACCATCTCCATATCATAATTGGCTTTATCACTGTGTCCACTCTCCTCATGGTGTGTGGGAGCATTCTGGTGCATTGTAGTTGCTGTTGTGTCATTCAGGTGAATGCTGCACACTGGTGGTGGATGAGGTGATTCCCACCAAAAATGTGTAAAGCACTTTGAGTGTTCAGAAAAGCACTATATAAATGTAAGGAATTATTATTATTAATTTACAATACGTGGTGATAAACATAATTAAACATTAGCTGTAAGGAATTTTATTGGCAGTCTTGCTTCTGGAAACATTTTTTTTCTGAGTATTTCTTTCATATTGTTTTTTAAAGCATTGTAAGTAAAAAAAACAGCTACTAGGTAAAGCACAACATTAAAACGTTTGAAGCCAAGACATCAATATAGAAATTGAACAAAAAGCAAAAGGACTTTCCAAATGATTAAAATATATGGGGTATTTGCACAGCTAGTGTTTTTCAGCCAATGATAAACTTCCAGTGAAAGGTTTCTGTGACTATTTTACATTCTTACCACAGAAACTTCATTCAAAATAATGAGGTAAAATAAATGTTGATATTTTAAAGAGATAGTGGGGAAAAATAGAATTTAATGCAGTGCTTCTTGTCCATTCTGGGACCTGCTTTATATCAAACATCTATCAGGCAGTGAAGATTACTTATAAAGAAAGAAGAAAAAACAGAAGAGAAAACAGATATTAAATGTGGCAATTTTGTAATGGAAAGGCAGTTCATCAGAAGCTGTCAGCTTGGCTGGCTGAAAATAAAAAGTCTGTGTTCATCTACCCCATTGATGAGTGTAAAGCACTTGTATGCCACAACAAGTTGTAATTACAAATTCGAAACTCTAAGTTTCCAAACAAGGGTAGCATCTGACTGAATTTAATTATTATTTGTCATTAACAATAAAACCACACTACAACATGTTTTATGCAGTAACAATGAACTATTGGTGGGTCTTAGTATTTAGATCACATCATTTTTTACAAACTATCAATTATTGTTTTCTCCCTGTGGAGAAGGTGAATGGAGTTTCCAAGACTGTTGGGATCTTTATTCCTGTCCTATAGGCATAGAAACAACTGTGGTCTTCTGGCCTGTCAGACTAAAGGAAAGTGGCCGTGTGTTGTTTTTCCGCTTCGAGCTTTGGGACTGTGGTGAAAGTGCCATGCGTAGATTTGACCACATGTTGCTGGTGAGCAGTCATTTACATTTCCTTTTAACTACATCTTCTGTGTCACTGTTAATGTATAATGTTGTCAACCTTTTCTCTTCAGTCCTGTAAGGAAAAGGTGGATGCCATCCTTTTCCTGTTCTCCTTTACTGACCGTGGCTCCTTTGACGAACTTACCAACCAAATATCACGGATCACAGAACCTTCAGATCGTGTGGTTAAATTGGTGGTTGGCACAAAGTATCCTTCAATGAGATGTTCAGAGTGTCTATTTGGTGTAGAATTGGGGTTATAATTGGATAAATAAAGTTGAATAAAGTATACATAGATGTTCAAAAAGTAAACTAAAATTAAAATGGTAAAAGATTTTACCCATTTCATATAATTCAGAATATTTTACTCACTTTAAAAGTCATCTAGAGTTATACAGTTGAGTTTTACAATTTCTAAATCCATTAAGCCAACTTCCAGGTCCACTTTTAGCTTAGCTTAGCAAAAATGATTGAATTGGATTAGACCATTAACATCTCGCTCAAAAAAAAAAGAGCTTCTATAATTTCCTTATTTAAAGCTCTTCTGTAGTCACATCGTCTACTAGGACCAACACAAAATTTAAAATTTGCTATTTTAGAAGTCAAAATGGCTACAAACTATTCTTCCGCAGTATTTACCAAAAGATTGGAGTGTCTTTTAATGCATGTACATCCTAGTATATAGTAAAACATATTGTGTATTGTTATTATTCTTAACGATGCAGGTTTGATTTATTTATGCACACAGACGTGACGGAGAGCGACGTGACACATTTTCAGGAGGTGTGGGGTCTTCCGGTTTTCCGTGTGGGAGGTGATGTGAGTGCTGGGCTTGGTGAGGTAGCACCTCTGCTAAATGCCCTTGTGGAAAACTTGTGGCACCAGGATTGTATGGCCGCTTCATCTGTCTCCATCTCTCCACAGGCTGCTCTCAGAGAAACAAGCTCAGAAATCATTGTATAGACCCAAATTGAGTGATGTTAACCATAACAATGGTCCCGATGTGTTTCCTGGTACATTGTTACATTTCCATAGCTTTTGAAAGTCAAAAAGTTCCACATATTATTAAATATTGTTGCAATAGCTGTTATAACATCGAGTTATGATTGAATCTCCTCTTTTTACAGATATGAAATAGTTTGACAACAAGCAAGAAGTATTCATGGCATAGTGACATCACCACACTGAAATGGCCTATAACTCCTACTCTAATATGACTAAATGTGTATGTGTAATATGCTGCTATATATGGAAATAAATGTTTTTTTAGTTTTTACATGTTTATTAGACATTTTAGTAGTGTTAAGTGCAAATATTTTAAACAGTGACCAAAAATAAAAATGACATCTCAATAAATGAATGTGCTTGTAATTTCAGGATAGTCACAGATTTATGTGTATATATTCAGAAAGTCAAAAATAAAAATCTGTGCTAAAGTATAAAACATTTTGTTCAATAAACCAAAGAAAACAGTACCCTTTCTAAAATAATAAGCATCCAAGCAACAGGTTTCACATCTTTGTTTCAATCCATAATTCACAAGTTTTTTGTTGTGTGTTTTTGAGCTTTAATCATCAACAATCCACCTTTCCCTAGAAACGATGTAACTGACATTGGATCCACATCAGCTGGAAATTGGTACTTCTGTCGAATGACGTCCAAAACTGTGCCATCTGATGCCAACTTATTCATAAGTCAGGGGAAAATTTGAAAAAGACAAACCAAAAGGAGTAAATACAATATATTTTTGTTTAATGTGTTTAAGCTTAAAAATGTTTAGGTTTATTTTGCTTACCTTTTCTGCAAAGACTTGTATTGCATTACTGGTTGAGGTTACTATAACTTCTTCCGGTGCAAACTCACTTACATTCACTGTTAATACGTAAATATCTCCAACAGTGCAAATTTCACCCTTTGAAAAAAAAAAAAAACAAGTTTATGGTTAATTCATAATAATCATACAGCATTAACAAATTGTTTGCAGAGGTGTTCAAACTAGACTTTAAACAACACTCACCTTTGAAACACCTGCCATTGTAGATTTGTTAGAAAGCATAGGACAATTAATTAATCCTGTTCTTTTTCTAAACAAAAAGACTTTAATGGTTCATAAACGTTTGATGCTGGTTTTCTCTGTGTTTTTGTTTAGAACAATGCAGTACTTGCTTTTATACCCCTGGTTGTGTTTGGGGTTCTGGGTGAGGCTAGAATTGATGTCTATGTGCAGAATGTGTCATATGAGAAAGAAGAGGTAATTTTGTAGTGTGATATTAATATCCTCTTTGAAATTAACTGTAAAAACACTCAAAAATTGTAAAGGAAACTGAATGTAATAATGATTAACTGCAAATGTGGTTTCATAATTACTAAAAATTAAGGGTAAGACTTGCTAGAAATAAAAAACAGTAGATGGAGAAGCCATGTGAAATTCTGCATCCTCGTTACAGCTGTCATTTCAGTACCAAATTACTAGAATAACCTCGTTGTTTTTCGTGTACGTAATGGAAGGTTAATATACAGAGCGTATAATAAATCACCCTAACCAACAAAAACTTCCTTCCAACCTCAACGTCAGCCTAAATCGTAATGGGACTTTTATTCTGAAAACATTCGCAGGGGTGGTGGCCATTTTGTAAGTCACCTTGCTAGTTCTAGCTTCATCTCGTCTTCCGTAATCCAGTTCATTGACCAGTTCTGTCGGCGGGCTTTTTTAATGTGACAGAAATACACATCTGAAAACCATTTTCGGTCAACAAAATTTTCACGACACACTCGCAACGCACAAGACTGTTTAACCAGAACCCAAACTTGTCGCTGTTTTAACGAAACGATCCCGTCGCGCCTGGCCAGGCAAGAAAGGCCACAATGAAGCTCACAGACAGTGTGCTGAGGAGTTTCAGGGTTGCGAAGGTTTTCCGAGAGAACTCCGACAAAATAAACTGCTTTGACTTCAGTTCAAATGGAGAAACTGTAATATCGAGTAGCGACGATGACTCGATTGTCTTGTACGACTGCCAGGAAGGAAAGTAAGTCGCTTGTAGTTTATTCGATGTGGTTGTCCTGCAACTGACTGTTTCGTTTTCATTCAGCGTTTGTTGTGTTCTATGTGAGTTACTGAAATGGGATAAATACCGAGATCTATTGCTAGAATGTTAATCGTGACAATTGTTGCCTATTTATATCGAGTGTTGTGTTTTGAATGCGTTTGTGTGTACAGTTAGCGGTCTCTTATTTGTAATTCGGATCTTTTAAGTGAATCACTTGAACTGAATCACTGAGCTTCGTTCCGTTTTTTTTTTTAGCTGTTTCCGTTCTTCATTTAGTATTATGTCTTTAAACTGCTGAAAATTATCTGCAACAAACTTTGAGAATCAAAAAAACTTTTTTTATTTTATTGCTTTGTTGTTATGTAACTTGATACATTTACTTGATATGCGTTTAATTTGCGAGAGAACTTGAACAGATTTTATTTTAAGGTGAAACATGACTTATTTATTTGGATTAAGTGTTTTTGTTTGACTTTTTTTGAGTCTATTACCACTTTTTTGTTAATTTTTAAATCCCAAATTCTCAAAACAAGACTGTTCGTTTGCTTCGTAAATGTATAGTATCGATGTGTGAACCTTTAACGTTTGATGTTTGTACTGGAAAGCAAGAAAAAAATATGCTATAGTAAAACCTTTTGCAGCCATGTTCTTGTTTTGAGTCTAATTGTTTATTTTAAATCATTATCTTATATTTTATTTTCTAAAACCCTAACCATTCGTAACGTAGCGACATAAAAGAATCGCCGAATCTTGAATCGATTCTTTCAAATCAGCTCTTTGAAAGAACTGATTCTCTGAAATGAATCTAATGTACAGACGCGTGCTAACTGTTAGCATCCACGCCTCCTAAAATAATCGGCCGCCTCCTGACTGTAAAATCAAATTATGTTATGAATTTTTGCATGTTATTTATCTAATAAACCAGATTAACATTTTCCCTCTTTAAATCAGACCCAAACGGACGCTTTACAGTAAGAAGTATGGTGTGGATCTCATCAGATACACCCATGCAGCCAACACAGTCGTCTACAGCTCTAACAAGATTGACGGTAGGACTCTTTACCAAACCTTAGTGTGATAACGTGCTGTTTTTCCCCCAGCAAATTCCATTATTTTAAGCTTTAGGGATGAAATGCTTATTCACTGAGCCCTTTTTAACTTGTTTTATTACATTTCTCAATGTTATGAGTGTTATTTTTCACCTTACATTTTCATAATTATGTTTTCATAATAAGTGTATGCATCCGTTTCTATGTAATCTTGTACACATTAGTTAAATAACAGGTTTTTCCTAAGCTTTACTACTGGTATTTGTGTATGGCTGTTTATCCTTGCCTGTTCTGGGTTGAGGTAGTTGTTTGTACAGTTTTTAGGGTCTGTTATTCTGCCCTGTTAAGGAGCTAACTGTACAGACTACTGCCTTGCCCAGGGTTGAGCCCACTCATCTGACATGGTATACAGTACATGTTTATATTTTTTCTAATAAAATCTTGTTCTAGTTGTTATATTTTGACACATTTGTGCTGTCACAGATACTATACGATACCTGTCTCTACATGACAATAAGTACATTCGCTACTTTCCTGGACACAATAAAAGGTGAGGAACCGTGCCATTAAATTATCATCCTGTTTTTACTATTGAATATTGGTGTTATATGGCTTTTTGTGTGGGTTTTATGCTATTCTAGGGTTGTCGCCCTGTCTATGTCCCCTGTTGATGACACATTCATTTCTGGCTCCCTTGACAAAACCATTCGTCTGTGGGACCTTCGCTCGCCTAACTGTCAAGTAAGCTGTTTTTTAATTTGGGTATGTTTTTCTTGTTAGTGTGTACTTGATTCTAATCATGGTTGTGTTCACAGGGCCTCATGCACCTGCAAGGGAAACCTGTGTGCTCATTTGATCCCGAGGGGTTGATTTTTGCTGCAGGAGTGAATTCTGAGATGGTCAAACTTTATGATTTGCGCTCTTTTGATAAGGTAACTTTATACATTTGCATTCAAAGAACTGTACTGTTATATTGGATGTTTTAAAAGTAAAAAAAATTCTTGTCTCAGGGCCCATTTGCCACATTTAAACTGCAATATGAGCGGACGTGTGAGTGGACGGGTCTCAAGTTCAGCAATGATGGAAAGCTCATTCTGGTCTCCACCAATGGAGGAACACTCAGAGTGCTGGATGCTTTTAAAGGAGCTGTTCTCCACTCGTTTGGGGTAAAAAATACTTTTTTTTTTTTTTTTTTTTTTTTTTGTAAAAGCAGTCTTGTTAGTTTTTCATCAATCATTTATTATGGAGGTCTCGTACATTAAGTTTGCATTCACCTCAAGTTCAAAAGGAACATTTTCTTTCAGTGCATACAATGTGTTTTTGCCTTTGCTGCACAAAACTCTTTCAAACCTCGGATATAACTACAGTTATTGAGGGTCAAATTAGATGTTTTTTTACAGACCATACCGGCCAATGAAGACCATAAACTGGCATACAAATTAGTTACAACCCTATGTAGTTGGGTTATGTAGGAAGTAAACCTGGAATTACTGATGACTTTTTTCAGGCCGTTCAGAATCTTCCGTTTGGGAGATAATACCTTAATTTAATATACACTTTTTAAAGCCTGTTGAAGTGCTTTCAATTGTGCATTTTTATTCAGTGTCTAACATAATCTTGACTGAAACATGAAGAGAGGGTGTGACATTCGCTTGTTAAGTGTAAGCTTCTAACTCCAAGCGATCTATTAAAAACTAAATGGGAAGACTCATCAAAATGGTAATAATAAACGTTTACTAAGCGCTGAAATACTTTCCAAAATCAAGATGGCAATAAATATCCTTGCCTAGTATCCGATGACCAGAAAGTGATACAGTTTTTATAAATTGGTGAAATATTGGTGTGTGATGCAGTATGTCCTGAGACTGTTGTGTTCACTATGATTTTATATAAAATTCATTTTAAAGTGTTATATGACTTAAAAATGGCCATGAACAAACATTTTCTCGATTCAAATGAGTAGCGGCTTGGACCCAAAACAGTACTCCATATGTCACGACTTAACAAGTGGAGGGTGTACAGGGTGTCCGCAGGGTCTTAAAATGTCCTAAATTCACATAAATATTGTGTTGTTGGTCTTAAATCATTTTAAACTGGTCTTAATTTTAAAAGACACCCATCAATTTTTTTTATATATATATATATATATAAATATTTTAGTTTTCATTGCAAAGAGATACAATTGAATAGACATGATAGACATTTATACAGCAAATTCTCTAAAAAAAGTATTTGCAGAAGTAAGGGTGTTTTACTCAATTAATTTGGACAAAAAGCAAACAAATATATATTTTTGTAGTTTTCTTTATAATAAATATACTTTTAACAATGATAAACTTGTCATTAAAAAAGAAACATGTTGGGAAAGAAAAGTGTATGGACTGTAGGGGTAATTTACAGTTTTAGCTCAAAGACTGACCAGTCTGTCAGATGAAAAAGAGTTGGTGTCAGAGATTTAAATAAATAACTAAAGTTTACTGAAGATAGTTTGCAGTTTCATCAGCAGAAGCCAGCTTCAACACTCACAAGTTCCTAGGCCACTCTGCTTACAATCACAAATCTATAACAATTATACTCTCACATAAGGTCATTAATTGCGTCATACATATAGGTGTTCTACCCTTATTGGTTAAAACTCAGACAGACTTGGAAAAATTCCATGTGGGTACGAGCGTACAATTTCGAACAATATCTTAAGCATATAAACGTCAGACATCCAATACATGGTTTAGAGCTGACTCCAGACCTGTGAAACGAATCCACAATCAAATAAACACACACACTGAAAGTACGATCTGTTTCTTACCCAAGGCTGAGGGTACTCTCTTTATCAAAACTGATTAAAAACCGGTATAATCTACATTCAGGCAGTTTTATCCTTACTACATAATGTCTTTCTTGAATAAAAAGTAGAATCACTTTAAAAGAATTAACCGTAAAAATAGCAAAATCACTTTAGACATTATGAATAGTATTAACTCGCAGAAATGACAATAGAAACTGTTGTTTCCAGTCCTCAGCCCTTCAGTTCCACTCAAGGTCTCCATGATCTCTGACCTAGTTTGGTGGCTCCTAAAAATATTAACAAAGAGACAGGCAAATGCACTAAACATTCTTATATTAAGCAATGTGTTGGCGTTATTCATTTTTCAGTAATCATCTTTAATAAAAGTAATGAGAAACAGGATGATGAGAAAAGGATAAACGTTGATCCATGATGAGATGGATTGGAAGGTAGACATCCGAATCCTTCTGGACACTTAAAGATATGTGGTTAAGAAATAATCTTCCCATTCTTTTTGCCCAATCTGGCTGTTACCAAACATCCTTAGTGTTTGGCTCTTTACACGTTTAAAATTTCATTCATAATGGTCTTAGAAGGGTCCTGAAAAGAATCCTTAAATGTCCTTAAATTTCACTTGATAAACCTGCAGAAACCCTGGAGTTGCTCCTCCCCTTAAAACAAAACCTTATTGGCAGATTTGTTTATCACAGCTCTGCCAAGTGAGATTGGTTGAGCTGAAAGAGAAAATTGCCCAAAAATATGAGCAGAAAAAAAGCTATTCTGCCCCACATTGGCCAGCAGTCTGGTTTCACTCTTCCTCTAGCCGTAGTCACCATGCGTTGTGAAGTGGCTTTCATGCAAGATGCAGAAAGTGATGAACTATGAAACTCATTCTTTTTAAGTTGCTGTGTCAATCAAAGCGCAAGAATAGCATATTGCACCGCTTGCTTGTGTGCGTGCTGCGTTCAATTCAAACTAGCTTAATATATTACTCTCTGTAGATATTTCACTCATTTGCACATATTTCTCTGTGCATGAACCACAAATGCTCAGTGAAAGAGCTAAGTTCACTCATAAAGTGCCGATGGGACATTTCTATGAAGTATGTACTTTTTCATGCTGCTTGCTATAGTGCTACTGTGCTCTCATGGCATTTCTGGTAAATTGACACCTATTATTTAATGGGCTTGTTTTTTTTTTAACCAATGTAATTTAATCTTTTGAGGTAAAAAGTTTTTCAAAAATACTTAATATTACATCATAAATTAATAAATAGCCTAATTATTACAAAGCATTTATGATTATATTAGAAAAAAGCATAATAAGGCACTTTTAAGAGTGTTTCTCTTTCTTACTGCAGGGTTATAACAACAGTAAAGGTGTCATTTTGGAGGCTTCTTTCACACCAGACTCTCAGTTCATTATGATCGGTAAGTCTTCACTTAAGCTTCTCACAGGACTACAAAAGGACTTAAGATGAGTTTACAGAGATTGATCGTGTCTCCTCAACATTTCCAGGATCAGAAGATGGGAAGATCCATGTGTGGAATGCTGAGAGTGGGATGAAAGTAGCGCTTCTGGATGGGAAACACACTGGTCCTGTTACCTGTCTACAGTTTAACCCCAAATTCATGACCTTTGCCAGTGCCTGTTCTAACATGGTAAGACTTAACCGAAGGTAGACACAAATCTGATGTTTGGCATAACTTACTGTATATTATAGATGGAATATGTGCAATTTGTCACATTTTCGAAACTTGGAGGTAGTTATGAATTAGTTAGTCTTAGATGTCATGCCAAACACTGCTCACGGACATGTGGCTAAATGTCTGATGCATATGGCACACTTAATTGGAAACACTTTAACAGATCATCAGTTGTCCTCTGATTTCTGGGAGTCTAGTGTACAGCAATCTGAACCAGTCCACATGGAAACAAGTCTGATTGGATAAAAAAACTGCTGCAATGTTTATCTCAGTCTGCGTACACATGTCCTACTGATTTCCTATACGTTTTGCTGACAGATCATTAAGGATATTGATGCGTTGTTGTAAACGTTTGAAGACCTGAATGAATGACGCATATGGCTAGGCATTCTATGGACTCTTTCAGGCACCTACATAAGACAAAACACAAAACGAATGGTTATTGATTGGTTAAGCTGTCAGTCTGAAATGGCATCATGGGTGGTTCTTTAACCATTAAAATCTGCCAAGGTTCCCAGACCTTTAGCCATCAGTATATGCCTTAGTATTCCTGTTCATCTCAGTGGCATTTTTTACTTTGTGCATTCGTTAAGGACTCTATGCTTTCTGAAAATAATAAAATGTCTAATGGTGTAATCTAATCGATAGTATAATTTACTATAAAAGATTCACAGAATTTGAATAAATGAAAAGGAAATTGCTATGGACTGTAGTCTGTGAATGTTAAACTCAAAACAATTATTTAAGCATATGTGTTTTTTGTTTGTGTAAATAGATATGAAAAATATTAGCCTCATTTTAAAGTATTACTTTTATTATTAATGTTTATTTTTGTGACTTGTGATGCAGACTTAAAAAAAAAAGAACTTAAGAGATGAACATAAAACAACTGTATAAAACAGCCTTGTTAGTATAAGGTATTTTAGTCAGTAGCATTCACTGCTAATTTTTTATGGTAATTATTGGAAAAATGGAATGGGGAAAATGTGATATAAAAAGAGTACACAGGGTTGTCAAATTGTCCTTAAAATCTTCTGCGTTTTCTTTGTGTAAATACTGCAGTAGTCACTAATTGACGGCCATATATATATATATATATATATATATATATATATATATATATATATATATATATATATATTTATATACACATACAGGGTGGGCCATTTAAATGGACACACCTTAATAAACTTATTGGGAATTTCACACAAAAAAAACAATGATGTGCTTGCTTTTAACAATTTTATTCTTTCATGAGTTATTTACAAGCCCCCTCACATACTACTGTGCCACAAACAGGACGTTAATATCACCAGCCATTCCCATTTTATTAAGGTGTATATAGATGCATCATTATTCCTGATGTATATCACAAACATATTCTGAAATGTCCCCTGCACAGGCGTTCTGGTTACCCACCATTGATGATTGATGGGCAGCTGTCATCAGTCGGCCTGTGATGTTCTTCCAGCAGGTGGCGTCATTCACCCTTCTCTTGGCACACATGAAGATGTTCACCGTGGGAATTTTGGACTGTAAATAGATTTGGCTTGATGCCGAGTTGTATTATTATTAATTTTTTTTTTCATTTTATATTTGTATGATTAAAAAGTTTTTGTAAAACATTAAGTGATCTGTTCACACATTCTGTTTTGTTTGAGGTTGTAACAGTGCTTCAATGAAACTGAGGTGATGTAAAACATCCAGCAGAATTGATCTTAGCTCTCCAAACTATACCAGAAGTCAGCACCTGTAGATTTAGCATCTTATGCGATCTAAAAAAAATGTCAATGGCCCTTTTTTTTTTTTTAATAAACATGTTTATACAACTTTCCAAAGATTTGGTTTTGAGGCCTTTCAGACATGTAATGCTTCTAGCTGTTGTGTGTAGTCCAGTATAATTGTGTCTGAGGGGAACTGCTTTTATACCATTATTTTACCTGTTTCTGTTGCATTTCTTTGTAATATCAGCATTGTAAATTGCTTATAAAACAAATTTTATAATCAGTATACACTGACCACCCTCTCTGAAGCGTCATCTTGTTTTGTAACTTACTTTGCACTAACGAAACAACACATTTTATTTATATGAGTTGTAGCTTTGTTGTCACTGTAATTTGTTTTATTTTTTAATCCAAATAGGTTTTCTTTTTTTCAGGTTAGCCTCACACATTACACCTTTTCTTATTTAAAAGTTGAAATAATCCTTTCTTGGAAACTTTTTATTTCATGTACAAAACTTGTCACTTGCACAGACTTTCAGTGTTCAACATAAATTTATCATCATTTAATTTTAAGATTTGTAACTGAGAATACACACAAAGAAAGATAAACCGATTAGTTTTCTGCCCAAATAAAATTATTTCTAAAAGTGTGCATTAAAGAACCAGCTGTGTCAGTCAATTGCATCTGACTGAGAAACAGTATATTTTATTTTCAATCAAGCTGTAATGTCAAATATTAAATAATAATAATAATATTAGAAAATTGTGTGTAGTTAAGAAATGGGTGAAGTATGCTTTAGCCATGTTAATCTATAAACAGCATTAAGGCAATAATTATTTTTGTGGCCCAAAAGACCTTACTGCGCTATTTCTTGTTTTACTGTAAAATGTGCACGCAAAACATTATTTTGTTTAATGTACTTATTTATTTTTAACAACGATAACCACTGCGCTGATATTACCATCTATGAGCTTACGTGCTTATTTGCATATTTGTTTTGTCAGAGTCTTATTGGACAAACGCAGCAGACCTGTTTACAGTGTTTCTGTGTTGTACCTCATTATATAATATGCAGACTTTACTGTATCAAGCTTATCCTGAAAGGAGCTTTCCAGCTGTAAAGGTGAGAACGAAACGGTTCTTCATTGAACATTCAGTATGTTAAATCATACTTTATTATTATTTTCCGTCAAAAGATAAAATTGCTACCATAACGCACGTGCTCAGGACAACAGGCCGTTATTCTAACCATGTCGAGGCAAACTACTGGCTTCTGGTCACAGATTCGTTGTTCCACACTGTCAAATATAACATATAAGTATTGAGATGAATGGTCTCTGAAAAGCTTCAAACTGTTCAGTAGGTTTTGTAACCCTAAGTAAAAATTGTTTTTAACCACGCTTTTAACGTGTTTGTAGTTTGTTTGACCTTTGTTGTAAAAGGCATAATTGTGAGGGTAAAACACTCAAAATTCATGTTTTGATATCAACAGTGCAGAGAAAAAAGGGTTACATTTGACATAAATACATAAAGATTAATATTAAAATATTTGTTTACAAAGTGATTAAAAACAGGTAAAATTATGACAAAAATCTGTTTACAATACAGAGCGCAAACTAGGGTTGGGCTGATAAACAATATATCGAATCGCGATAAAAATTTATGTCAAAAACAATGATAAACTGAACTTTTTTTTACTCTATATTGATCTAAGAGCCAACCACACAGAGGAAATGTGCAATAATGGGAATCTAAGAGTGTGTTGATATTAGACATGTACCAAATTTTCGGCCACCGTAAAAGTCATTTAGTGGACCCTCTAATTTAGCTCCCCCTCGCTGGAGCTCAGCTCTGCCCAAATGCCTCTGCAGTGAATCTGGAAGCATTAATAATTTATATTGAAATATATATCGTTATCATTCAATATAAAAAATAATTATGAAGATTGCATTTTTTCCCATATCGCCCCGCCCTAGCTCAAACCTAAAATGTTAGATAATAATAGTAATAACCATTGGTGTAAAGTAGATTACAAGTTCTGAAATTACTGTAAATTATTCAGGGTTTTGTTCAGAAATTGTAATTTTTTTCCTACTTTTACTTTCCCTTGAGTACATTTTAGTGCTGTATTGGTACTTTTACTCCACTACTTTCTTTCAACCAGCAGTCACTACTTTATTTTTTTTTGTCTATGTGGATTAGAAAAATCAGTCCTGCGATTCCTGTCTAATCAAGTTCAGTCAAAGACAGTAAATTGCATCATAATCAACTACTTTAAGACTTGCAGCAAACTATTTGATACCATAAAAGTGTCCAAGAAGATACTTTACATGCAATAATCCAGAGACTGTTTAGACTGAATGTCATTGATAAGAGAAAATGGGGATATTTACTGTATGAGGACTGAAAGGGCCCTAAACAGTCACTAAATACACTACAGAATGTTACGTTTACAAACACATGCATAAATTGCATATAAACGCTTCAACCTTTCACAGCGTAATACTCACTACTCTTGAGTACTTTTTCACTCATATTTAATAATATTTACAACAGATACTTTCACTATACTTGCGCTACATTTTTGGGTAAGTAATCGTACTTCTACTTAAGTATTTTTCAGTACTCTTCACCTCTGTTAATAACAGAAACAAATTTTCTCAAAGAGTTTGTAAAATAAAAAAAAGAGGGAAGATGATGACAAATGGGTGGTTCATTCCACTGTGGCAGTCCCTGATAATCAAGGACTAAGCCAAAGAAAATAATGAATGAATTGATGACAATTGTCATAAATTTTAATTCGTTATACAGTTCATTACCTTCTCAGTAGAGGGCAGTGTTCGTTATTTTGTTTGTGATTTTGAGGAATTTATAGAAAACACAAGGTTTTTGAATTGGAATCAATAGATTTAAAGAACTGGGGCCGCACTGGGGGATGGTCCGACTGTTACCCGAGGCCAGACAGTGTGCCTGCTAAATTTGGGGCAAGAGAGATCAGGTTCCTTCTGCAGGCACACACGATCCTGTCCCAGTTACAGGAGCCTTCTCTCACACATCTGCTGCTCTCACATGCCCTCTCGCTTGGATAGCTCACAGTCTGTCAAACACCAGACTCTTACTTCATTCTGCTGCTTTCACACCGCTGTGTTTCTGATAGGTTAACGCACTGACCACTGCTTGAAGAGAGTTTGTAAAAAGAAGATCCTCCAGGTGACCTGACCTGAGCATCCAGCTTCATCCAACTTCAGAAGGTTTCTTGGCGGGTGGGAAGGCACCACACTGACCCGCCATGTTTCTGGTTCTGGTGGTTACAGAGGAGCTGAGGGAGTTTCTGGCCCGGGCACGAAACGGAACCGGCCGCCTCATCCAGGTGTTGATCAGAGACGGTGAGTCAGCAGGGGTCTGAGGGGTTCAAAAACAAAATAATGAAGCCACCAATATTAGAATATATATACAGAATCTGTCAATAATGCAATTTTTGACCAATATTTCCAATGCAGGATGAACCTCATGGTGGATTAACTCAAAATCATCTTAATCCTATATAATAAAATAGTTCATTCTGATAAAAATTCCCAATTAGTCTAATCACAAAGTAAGTACAGTATTATTGTACAGTTTTGGCATGTTTAAAATTTTGAGAAGCTCCAATATAAGTTGATTTGTTGATCAATAAACCAAATATAGTGGTTTTGTGAAAGAGTGACTCTTTTTAGATTCTCAAAATATTCTTACATGATTTTTCAAATGAGTAAAATGTCATGTGCATTAAGCTTCTCCATTCTTTAACTTTTTTCCCTGCATCATGCATTAAACTCACTCATTAAAAATGTGAATTCTGATGCTGTTATGTACATTTTCTAAATAGTAACTAAAGCAACTAAATAAGAAGGTTTGGATTGAGAGTCAAAAAAGTTTAATTATTATTATTGTTATTATTATTATTACTATTATTATTATTATTCCCTCATTTATGCTTACCACAGCATAATTTTTTTTTTCTTTTTTTACTGAAATCCTCCATTATCAAACACTGATAGGTAATCATGAGGGAACAATCAGCAAATTATCCTTCCGGGTTCTGACGTCATTTCTGCACAGCTTAGAGACTGAAATTAAACACCTTTGAACTAACTCCTACCAGTTTGATAATTGAAATTTGACCAACTTAATCCCAATGAAGCCTAGAAAATATTTAAACTAAAAGTTTTAAATAGTTTTACTACTATTAACCATAATGCATCAGGGTATATCAATATTTCTGAATGCTATTTGGGTTCCATGACCAAGGTTGACTTACGTCAGTATATACAGTTGAAGTCAGAATTATTAGCCACCCTGTTTATTTTTCTCCCCAATTTCTGTTTAACAGAGAGAAGTTTTTTTTCAACACGTTTCCAAACATAATAGTTTTACCAACTCATTTTTAATACCTGATTTATTTTTTCTTTGACATGATGACAGCACATAATATTTGACTAGATAATATTAATATATTGTAATATTTTTCAAGACACTTCTGTACAGTTTAAAGTGACGTTTAAAGGCTTAACTAGGTTACTTAAGTTAACTATAGGCAGGTTAGGGTAATTAGGTAAGTTATTATATAACGATGGTTTGTTCTGTAGACTATCGAGAAAAAAAAAGCTAGCTTAAAGGGGCTAATCATTTTGATCTTAAAATGTTTTTTAAAAATTTAAAAACTGCTTTTGTTCCAGCCGAAATAAAACAAATAAGACTTTCTCCAGATGAAAAAATATCAGACATACTGTGAAAATGTCCTGGCTTTGTTAAAATTTTTTGGGAAATATTTAAAAAACGAAAACAAATTCAAAGGGGGGCTAATAATTCTGACTTCAACTGTATATATATATATATATATATATATATATATATATATATATATATATATATATATATATAGTGTTCAGCACATATAAGTACACCCCTCATAAATCTTTCATAAATTAATATTTTTATTAGGAAGCTATACAATATTATTTTTGTCTCTACACATTACTTTAGTCAGTAATGAAGCCAATTCTGGAGCTTATCTAACAAAATAACTTAAGATAACGAACCAAAAACTAATACACCGAAATCTATATGTTATAGAAAAATATTAAATACAAATTTAAAGAAGAGGAAAAATCAAGAGGAGCAAAAAAATTAAAACATTTAGTTGTAATTTATTTTTGCAATATTCTGCTTGAAGTTAATTGTGTTATCTTTTAATTTCTATATATGTTTGATGACTAAAATATTGTTTTCATAAATATATCCATTTAATAAGTCTGTTTTGTTTCAGTGCACCAAAATACTTTGCCTATATTCACTAAGAAATGGATAAAAATATTCATTTTCAAAAGGGGTGTACTCAATTGTGCTAAGCACTGTATGTACTTTTATGTTAGTGAAAGAATACTCAATGATGGTCTTCAGAACTGTGCAAATATATAACTTTATTTTTCCCCATGTAATAATTTATGGAAAAAAATGACGTAAGAAAAAATGCAACTTAAACAAATAATACAGATATGCCTCGAAACAGGATATGGCCATAAATCTGGTGTAAAAAACATGATTATGTATTTTGGTACAAGTATTTTCTCATTGAACGAGTCAATAAAACATGTGGCTGATTGATTACTAAGCTGTAAAGTTAGTAAGACACTTGAAAGAAAAGACAAAAAGACTCTTAAAAGTGTCAAAATCTTTTAAAGACTGTTTATTTTGTTGTGATGAACATTTTAAAAATTGTCCACTGTCCACTGTGTCTAACTGAAATACCATAGCTTGATTTGCTAATATTCAAACAATGTCACATTATCAGTTAATTTTGTTAACAAGATGTTACACTAATTACAATTTTATCTGATTTCCCCTTTTTAATCTATTATTATCATTATATATGAGTCAGTTGTGTTTTTATAGTTTATTTTTAGGTGTGATTTTGATTTGTTGTTGTTTTACCGTCCAGACTTCAGCTGACATGAGGAAACAGGAACAAACACATTTCACAATTTATTTTGATTCCTGATTTGCATGATGCTGTAGATCTTATGACAGCATTTGATGTGGAAACGGAATGGTTCTTAAGGGATTAACCGTTCAGAGGTCAAAGTAGTGATGAACTGTTCTCTGTTGCAATATATGCGCATGAGCACAAGCGTGCATTTGCGTACAAGTTCAAGTGTCAGGTACTGTTGAAATGTTAGCTCACTATCAGGTGACAGGATCCTGTTGCTGGGAAGGAAAGGGCAAAACGCTATCAAATTTGAGTGAAGTCATTCTGCCATTACCTAACCTGACTTCAAGATGTGCGCATGTACTCTCATGAATGAAACACAATGAAATGTCGTGGTATTATGACTTTTATTCAGCAAGGATGGATTATATTCATCAAAAGTTTTTGTAAAGAATAAGATGTTTATGATGTTTTAAAACACTGACCACAAACATTTAAATGGATGCGCAGCAGGGTGAGGCCTATAAATTCAAAATCTTTAAGAATTAAATTGAGCTATTATGACTCACATTACATATAGACTTGCAGTCACATCAGATTTTTTTTTGTACATGTTGTGCTGAGGATTATAACCAATTACACACTTTGTTTTTTGAGATCGTTAACACAGTAGCCAATTAGAGATGTTAAATTAGTTGATTGGTTGAATTTTGTTAGGTTTGTTGAATGAATTGTTAGCTGTGAGAAAATGTCCCATTAGAAACATCAAGTGCTCAAATAATGTACGATTATTTTTATAGCTTCATTAATTATATATATATTCTGTTAATCAACAACAAGAAAAAAATTTTATTGTGATTTTATTTTGTCATAATATTGCAGTTCTATCCTGTAATGTTCTTTCCTATATCCTGAGTTTATTATGCATAGTTTTAGTTTTGATTATTAATCAAAGTTTATGGGTAACATTTATAATTAGGTTCTATTAATTGATGTTAATGTATAATAAAAAAATGAACAAATGTATGATGGTTGTTAGTAAGTTATTTTTTGCCATATTTATTTGAATTAAAGTTGTTCATTGTTAGTTAACAACAACATTAGTAAATGTTTAACTATGATAAATAAATACTGTTCTGGTATTGTTTATTATCAATTGATTAGTAAATCTATTAAATAATGAAACCCTATCGTAAAGTGCTTTTGATTTTGTGGAGAATAGTTTTTTTAGATTATTGAAATATTCTTCAAACTATGGAAAAATTGTCCTTTATAGAATTTGTTACTGAAGGTTGTTTGGAGAACCAAAAAAAAGTCTATAGCATTACTTGAAATTAAAAACACCCTGTTGGAATTTTTATTAAGAAGGTAATAATTTATATAAAAAGGTTTTAATTAAAATATGGAAAGTTCTTATTAAGATAAGAAATGTTATTGGAAAGCACCCCTAGGGGCTGAATATTGGCCCTATATATGGCTCTATTGGCCATTACCCTGTAATGAAAATTTGCTGTTAAAGTCCAGTGAAATTTAGTGAAAAAAAATATTTTTTTTAGATGTTAGTATCAATGTTCATTATAAGGATATCTATAAGCTAGTGTGCTATAAAACTAGAGGCGTAATGGATCACGGTTGATCTGTGATTTGTACAGATCACAATCCACGGTTTGGTACACACGTGACTTGTGGATTATTTTTTTTTTTTTTTGCTAATTTTTAACAATTTTTTACAGAGATCGCCTCTCGCATCGTTCAAATCACATGTATGATAGCATTTAGGCTTTCCTGTAAAATTTAATGATGACACAAGAAGTTGGTGTAGGCTATTCGTTACGTGGTGGGTTTCTAAGGTTATTAAAGGTGTTTTCTCTCACTAGTGTGTAGCCTGCATTAATGCATTCAGTGTAAGCTGCATAATTAATCATTAAAAGATCTGGATTTTGAATAAATAATAAATGATTGTGATTTACATATGTTTATTTATCCTTCAAATCGATGCATTCAAAAAATCCAAAAATCAAGGAAGAGATTCAGTATTTAGTTTACACAGTCAAATAATACAGAAGTACTGGAAGAACAGTTTAAGGTTTAGATATAACCACTGATGTTTGTAAAGACTAAAATCACCTTCATATGCTTTTAACTTAATGCTCAAAAATGAAAGTTGTAGGCAGCAAATACATTATTTAAGCAATAGGTGGCGACAATCAGCCATCAAAAATATGCCACTAAATAATTCTTCAAAAATTACACATCTAGCAATGCAACATGACGTTTTATGAGTGAACGACTGAATCTTTTATTTAAAATGAGACTAGAAATGAATATGAGTTGTACAAATTATAATGTTAGGTTTCTACATTTAGCGTAATCAGAAATAGTTGTAGTTAGTTACAGTGAATTTTTCACAGTACTGAA